CTTCCTCAAGTCCTCCGGGAACCGAGCTAGCTAGGCCTGGGGCCTAACCCCTCCCACGCGGCCCCTGCCCTAACCCTTTCCGACAGGTTCCGAGTGAGGACGGAGGGCAGACAGCTAACCGGCTCTCGCGGAGACCCCCTGCGGAGTGCCGTATGCAAATGTTATTATTTGCATATGTAAATATGCAAATACGCCGGCCCTGGTCAGGGCGGCAGGTGGCGAAGAGCGGGAAGGTGTGGGGAAGGGATCAGAAGGAGACGAGGAGTTTGGGGACCTGGGAGCGGACCCAGTGAGAGGGAGGCTTAAGTGGTCGCTGGAGTGGGGCAAGCGTGTGTGGGGGGTCTTGAGCTCGATGCCGGGTGGGGGAGGGTCGGCTTGGCCAGCCAGGAGCTCCTCTTCTCGTCTGCCCGTTGTCTGCCAGGACTGAGGTTGGCACCGCCTAGCAAGGTTGGCAGCGGGAGCCCGGGCACCATCTGCTGCTGGCGGGGGGAGGGCCGAGACTCAGCTGGGAGGAGGGCCTGGGACAGGCGCGCCCCCCTTCCAGAAGGCTGAGGTGTGATGGGGGTAGGGAAGCACACAAGACGACTGCAGGACCGGGTTCAGTTTTCTGTTCCCTTTGCCCTTGACGGTCCCGGATGCCTGAGGGGGTGGAGGTGGAGTCATTAAAGAAAACCCCCCTTTAATCGCGATTGAGCTGGAATAGGAGCAGATCACAGGCAAACACACACACCAACCACACGCAAATCAAGCCTTCTGTCCTCATCCTTCCTTGAAATCCACCTAACAGGAATGTATGAGGGGAGGGACCGCGAGGGCTCGGGTCGTCTCTATTCATCAAGGTCTGAGGGACTCAAAACCAGAGCCCCCCCGAGATCCTCGAGAGGGCCCCCCATCAATGCTCAGGCAAAACCAATTTACTGGCTCATTGGGCGGCAGTGCTGGTGTGCGGATGCCGAGGAGCAGGGAGAACGGCTGTTCTCTCCCTACACTCGGGGGGCGCCCCCCTCCCTAGCCTCACTGAGCCGGCAGCTGTCCCTAATTAGAGCGGCGGTTTAATTGGATTTATCAGCAGTTAATAGGAAATTAAGCAAAGGGCCTGAGAGAAGGGGGGCGGGAAAAGCGGGGAAAGAGGCTGTGCTGAACTTGAAGGAGGGGTGCTAGGGTACCAGGGGTGGGGACATGTGACCCAGTGTCCCGATGGAGCCCCATGGTCACACCCTCCCCTCAGTACTCACCAAGACTGTTAAGCCCTGGCCTGCAGGCCAGAGAGCAGGTCCCCAGAGAGCGCGGTAGGCGTGACAGCGACCCTGTGTGAGCTCCCAGCGCCCTTCATCCCCGTAAGCGGCGCCTAGGTGATGGATGATACTGCCGCACGCTGCAAAGGTCATAAGTCTGGGCCAAGGAGCAGAATGAATTGAAAACAGATCCGAGGAAGGGCCGGTACTGGGGTACAAGACAACCCGCACCCCAACCTCCTCCACTGCCCACTCAGCGCGCGCGCGCGCGCGCACACACACACACACACACACACACGTGCCCCTTGAAGTTGCAAGACTGGGCAGCACGGGGGGAAAGGGCAGAGTACAGAGTGACCCTCTCTATAAACCCCACTGGCAGCCGTGTTGGGGATCCTGAGAATCTTCTGGTGCAGCTCCAATGTTCCCTTTGGGTTCTCCCTCCACCAAACTGCCCGATTTGGGTCTGTGGGGTCCCCCGGGTCTGCTGCTCAGGGGCGGCCCAACATCAACACCACGCTCCCTAGGGGCCAGTCAAGGAAGCTTGCAGGCAGCTAAGCCCTGGCGCACGGGCCTCTTAGTCCACAGCCCCAGGCGCCTCCTGTCACCAAGACTTCATTATACTGCTAGGTTAACGAGGCCTGCTCCGGAGACCCTGAGGACCTCCCTGCCACATTCCACCCTGCAGGGCACAGATGGCAACTCTTGCATATACTAAGGTGTGCTAGCCTCTGAGTGGGTGTGGGTGGTCTCTCCGTGCCCCTGGCAATTATGGACGTCTGTATCCCCGGCGTGTGGTTTGTGTGTGTCCGTTTGTTCCCTGGCTATGTGAGGTGTGTCCACCTGAGCCTCAGGTGTGTCCGACTCTGTGTCCGGGTGTGTGTCTGTGCCCCGAGTGTGTCTATATCTGTCGGGTTTGTCCACTTCCCGCTCCCCAGCTCCCATATGGGTGATTTTGCCCGGATGTGCCTCTGCGTGGGGGCGTTTCCGTGCGTCTCCGCCTGCAGGTATGTGTGAAAATCAGGAAGAGCCAGCGGGGAGTGTGTGTTGCTATCGCGTCTCCGCCTGCAGGTATGTGTGTCTCGGTGACAATGCGTGGGCGTGTGCCTGGGTGTGAGCCGCGCGGCGGCGTGTATCCGAATGACAGTGTGACGCACGTGCGCACGCGCGCGCGCGCCTGAGTGAGTCTCCCGCCCCCACTCCTTCCTTTCCCCATTTCTATTCCTCTCTCCTCTCCCGGCCAGCTCGGCTTCGCCGTCCGCATCATCTCCATCCATTATTGAAGAAACAGCCGCGTCCGCTCCAATCACATCAATACCCCCGCCCCTTCTCCGTTCCGCTCGCCCCGCGGCCCCTCTGGGTGCTGAGGAGAGGGGAAGCCAAGGCGCGGTGGGGGCGCCTGGTGGGAATGGGCTTATGACCCTTGCCCCAAGCCCGGCCAGGAGCCGGACGCCGGGGTGCCCGGCGGAGAGCGCTTTGCATAAACAGATGGCGCGGGCGTCTTTGTCTCACTTGCTCGCTCACCGCGCAGCTCCCGGCTTCGCTTCTGTCTGGCTGATGCAATCATGATCATCTCGGTGCCTCAGGAACCGGCACCCTTAATAATGGCAGAGGGGGTCAGGGGCCCCGGGGCTCCCGAGCAGATGCTGGGCCCTGTGTCTTCCCTCCCGGGCGCCCCTCCACGTCCCACAGCCGCGGCGGGAAGACCAACGCTGCGCGGAGGTGACGGGCATGTGGAGGTGACCAGGAGAAGGACCCTGGGCACTGAGGAGGAGGACCCTGGGCACTGAGGAGGAGAACCCTGGGCAGTGCCCCGAGGCGTCCCCGGGCTGCCCTGTTGGGCTGCTGCAGTCCCCAGAAGTAGCAACTCAGAGAATAGGAATAGAACTGGGGAATGGGGTCGGGGAGAGACAGAAATAAAGACAGAGACAAAGAGAGGCATTAGTAAAGAGAGACACAGTTGGAGAGATGTGAAGGGAGGGAGCGAGACACAGAGAGACACAGAGAAACCGATGCAGAGGGACAAAGCCAGGTAGGGAAGGCAGCAAGAGAGCAGACAGACACAGCCAGAATGATAAGGAAGAGAGAGATGGACATACCCAGAGAGAGGAAGCAGACAGACCGCCCGAACAAGAGGCAGAAAGAAGGGCAGTGAGAGGCTAGGACAGGCCGGGTCAGAGGGTTTAGGGCAATCTCGAATCTGCAGCCCAGAAGCAGAGATGAAGCCCCCGCCTCCCCCGCCCCCAGGCATCTGAGTCTGCCCAGCCCCAGAAGAGGAACCCGCCTGAACCCTGGGTGCTGATTGTGGCTGGCGAGACAGGAGCTTCCGCGTCCCCTCTCCGCCCTCCGGTCCCATCTCACACGAGAAGAGTGGAGGCTGCGGGACCCACTGTCTTGGCGGCGGGAGTGGCGGAGTGACTCGCTGGGCGTGGACGGAGACTCCAGGCACCAACTTAGCTGCCCGAATGCCGGGAGTGCAGGGTCGGCACTGCCGGATAGGGGGTGCCCAAGGCCTCTTCCCCGAGCTTGGGGGCCCCTCGGCCTCCAGGGGGCGCCCGTGCCCACGGCCCCTGCAACACGCTGAATCCGCTGAGTCCCGCTGCCTTTGACCCGCTGTGCAGCCAGCGCGCGGATTGGGATCCTGGTGTGGGTTAGCGTTTGGAGTCCAGTCCCAGCGGGATCCCGGGCCGCGCCTAATCTGTAGCTAATGACTCTTGCGGTTCCTCACCCCGCTGGGCCAGCGTGGCCTGAGTCCTCGTGGTGGGAAAGTGTGGGGAGCCAGGAGAGATGGGATCCGGAACTCAAGGAGTCTTGTGTTCCAGATCGGCCCCATGGGCCAGCCAGAGACGGGAACCAAAGATGGGGAAGGGGGATTAGAAATAAGTTCACAGAGACAGGGACCAGAAGCAGGAGAAGGGTCAAAGAGTGGCGGAGAGGCGGAGCGGAGGTAATAATGTAACGTTGCAGCTCGGTGAGCTGGGCGGAGGCCCAAGGCCGGAGGAACAGCGGCGGCCCTGGAAAAGGAGTGTGACAGAGAATGTGGGACCTGGCCGGGATCACCGGAACTCAGAAGAAAGGGCCCAAGGAGGCAGGCAAGGGCTCGTGAGCAAAGGCGCAAGGACCAGGCGTCCATTCCCGCGTCCTTGCTCCCCAGCTGTGCCACAGAGAACCAGATGTGCAGCCCAGCTGTGCGGCCGCTCAAGTTCGAGCTCTGGGGTTGCTTTTTGGTCCCAGAGACTGGAGGGCTGGGGTACGCTGGTGACAGGACACACCCTCCCTTCCTGGGCCCTGGAGGCGCGGGCTCTTCTCTGGGAGTGCTGGGCTGCTGGAGGCTCTGACATCCCGTCAGCCCCGCTCCCCCGCCCTCCACACAAATCGCAGCGAGTCTCTGTCTCTTTGTTCTCGCCGTGTCTCTGACACTTTATCTCATTATCCGCCGGAGGGAGGCGGAGAGCCCGGGACCCTGCAGCCTAATTACAGCCGCGCTTGTCAGAGTAGGGGGCGGTGGAGGTATCAGTGCGAAGGAAAGGGAGGGGGACCCTAGAAAGCGCCCTCTCCCTCCCTGTACCCCGAGGATCCCAGCCATAGGTGCATAACTGGCTCCCGCCTGCGCCCTCCACAGGGCAGGCTCTGGAAGGGGAGGTGGGGGGTGCTCTGCAGGTTCAGCAGCAAGGAGGGAGGGGGTGGTGGAGGTTATGGTGGGAGTGGGGAGAGATAATAGGACTCGGTTCCTGCGTCCCTAAGACCCAAATTCCCCAGAGACGGGGGTTGTGGGCTTCCCAACCGCGGCAGCATAGCACCCACCTGAGATGGTTGAGGACAGGAGGGAATCGCTCGCAGTTCTGTGTCTGTGTCTTGTTCTCTTTCAACATCTGTCTGATCTTTCCTGTTTCCCCCACTCCATTCCCTTCCTCTCCATCCCACAGCCAGAGGAAGGGGATGGCCTCCTTGGGCGGCCCCACCTTTACCCTACCCCAGGTAGGCAGAGCAAGCAAGTCTCTCAAGCGCCACTGCCATGACTGTGGTAGAATAAACTGGCGTATTCCATCCTGATCCTGAGCCATGATTAAGATACACCTGGTTCTTCCAGCCTCCAACCACGATTCCAGTTCAACCACAACCTGAAGAAACCACTCAGAACAAGAGGGGCTGGGGGAGCTTTATGGTGTGGGCCTGTCTTCCTCCTTCCCCCACTGTACTGTGAAGGGGACAGAACTAGGGTTCTCAGGACCTGCTCCTGGACAGCTCTAGGGGTGTCAGGGAAGTGTTGTACATGGCCTCATTGGCCCTGGCCCCTCCTGGTCCCAGCTGTGAACACTCTACACATGCATTTTGCTAAGTGCCCGTTCCATGACCATGCCTCCTCCAACATCTTATGGGGTCCTATGCCAGTGAGGTCCTTCCCTCAGATGCCAAAAGCCCCAAGAATGATGGTGTCCCTTGGTCCAGGTGCAGGCATCTGGAGGAGAGAATGGGAGAGCAGAAACCACTTGGCTCCCAGACAATTCCCCTCCAGGCTTTGGGCCTGGAATTGAGGAGAAAGTGAGCTAAGTTGGGGTGGGGCGAGTCCAAAGAAGCACAGGCTGGGCCAAGCTAAGCTGCTCTGGGCTGGGCTGATCCCTCCCCACTCAGGGGCGGGATCCCAGGAGGAGGGAGAGGACAGAGCCACTGGAGAAGACCAGACACTGGAAAAACGATATGGCAGGAGCCAGTCTTGGGGCCCGCTTCTACCAGCAGATCAAAAGACATCCGGGGGTGAGTCCCGTCCTCAGAACCTCTGATTCTAACTCCTAACTCTCCTGCTGCCCCACCCTTCAAATCCCCCAGTGCCTTGCCTTGTGCCCAGGTCCCTCAGCGCTCATAATCTTCCCCTAAGGTTGCCCCAGTCTCTCTCCGAAAAGTCCCTGTGTCCCACAAATCTACTACCTTGGACAGGATTGCTGTAGGGTGAGGGAGACCATGCCAGGAAATATGGTTGTAGGAGATTCCAGGGAGGGAGCACCAGACCCGGGGTGGGGTTGGGGTGGGCACAAAAACTTGTGAAGGGTGACTGCAGGGAGAGAGCTGACCCCAGAAGTGCTCTTCATCTTCCCCGCAGATCATCCCGATGATTGGCTTCATCTGCCTGGGCATGGGCAGCGCTGGGCTCTACTTGCTGCGACTCGCCCTGCGCAGCCCCGACGTCTGGTAAAGGCCGGGCTTGGGATGCTCAGTGGGGGCTGGGTGAGGCAAGATGCGGTGGAAATAGGCGGCCCTAGTAGGGATCCCATGCCCTGCTGCATGCACCTTCGACTGTACCAACCCGCATCTCAGGGCTGGAGCCCACTGACCTGGGAGACCGCTTTATCCCTTCCAGCCCACCTGAATGCTCACTCCTCAGCTTGGCCCGCCCTGAAATGCGGAACCGACGCCTCTCCCCATCTCCCCGGCCTGGTTGCCATGACGACGCTGCTCCGCCAGCGGCGGGCTCGGGCTTTTGGGTACCTCTAAGTCCTTGCCAGAGCACTGGGGGTGTGGCTGGGTGAGCTGCTGGGGGTGGCATTGGGGACCAGTGTGGGGCGGAGATTTCACACCCGGCCCGCGGAGGGGGTCCGGAAGTGAAAGGCGCACCAACGGCTTTATAATTCCTGGCACATCACCAGAAACCCAGCCCCTTGGGATCTCTGATTCCCACTACTCTGCTCTTAGGGTTAACCTAGGGTGGCAGGTAGCAAGTGGGAGTCCCTGGGCCCCGTTGTCAGTTTGCCACCCAGTCCCATGCTGACAATGGTGACAGGCTTCTTGTCTCACTTGTCAGCATCCGCTAATACGACTGTTCCTTTGTCAATCCTGGGAAATGGGACCCCCAGGGCAGGAGGCGGGAGTACCGGGGTGGGGTCAGAGCCTCTAGCTGGAGCTTGAGGGTCAAATTGGGTTACAGAGTCCTGGGTCCCAGGGAGGAGACCCTAACCCTCCCCTTCCTGCTCCACAGCTGGGACAGAAAGAACAACCCGGAGCCCTGGAACCGCCTGAGTCCCAATGACCAATACAAGGTACCTCTTGATGGCTCTAGGGTCACCCCCCCATCCTCTTACTTCCTGGTCCGGTGACCCACAACTCCCGTACCATAAGCAAAGGGAGGCTTGGAGCACTCAGCGCAACCCCCTTTCCCTCTCCTCTTAGTTCCTTGCAGTTTCCACTGACTATAAGAAGCTAAAGAAGGACCGGCCGGACTTCTAAGCCAGGCTGGGCTGCCAGTGCCATGCAAACCACGGACAGCCAGCCCATCCACTTCTTCCACTCCTCCCCTCAGGCCCCAAGGCGTCAGTCTGGCCACCCTGTCCTGCTCCTGCTCACACAGGCCGGGTTCCCACGCAGAGGGGAGGCTGCTCCACCCCTACTCTCCTCCCTTGCTCCCAGCAGCGGAAGCGCCTCTGACCCTTGGCTTGAGTCCCACGTGGGGGAGGAGGAGGCAGGCAGCACCAGCAGGGGTCCATCAAAAGAGCCCAGACTAGCCCCTCTGCCCTCCTACCCAGGCCTCGAAGGGTGTGGCACAGAGGCTACGTGTTGAGCGTGGCCTACGTGAGCCAACAAGAAGCAGGGACCTCTGAGTGCCAAGAGACGTGGCGGGCTCCACGTTCGCCCAGGCTCTGGGAGCCAGCCCAGGGGCGGTGCTGCTCAGCTCCGGCTGGTCCAGGGCCTGCCTAGGCTGGGGCACCTTTGCCTCCTGAGGTGCAGCGCACTCCTCCCTGCCCAAGCCCGCTGCCTCTCACTGCCATCAGTACCCCCTCCATACCTGGGCCTCCCCTTGCTGCTCCCCTCCCTTGCTCCCCTCTGTCCCCAGGGATCAAACAGAAGCAGCCGTGGGCAAAATACAATTTCATTTAACAAATTGAATTTGCTGCGCCTGCTAATCACGTCTGGTGTCAGCTCTGATCAGAGACAGAGAGAGGAGGCTTCAGCCCCGGGGGTCCTTGTGGTAGAGGTGGTGGGAGGGGAGGAGTGTACACATTGAAAGAGACAAATCACTGTTTGGCCCAGAGGACCCCACCCACAGTAATGGAAACTCAGGGCAGGTTGGTATTTTATTAGATAAAAACAGGAAGGAGGGTGCCTACCCACCCCTGCCTGCCACTGGCTCTGAAGGGCACTCCCCAACTTCCCCAAGAAGGAGCACGCATCTCTGACACTGTGATCCTGACAGGGGGTTCAAACAGAAAGTGCCTGGGCCCTCCTTCTAAGTCTTGTTACTGAAAAAGGGAAAAGGAAAGATCTTCTCAGTTACAAATTCTGGGAAGGGGGACTATACCTGGCTCTTGCCCTAGGTGAGAGGTCTTCCCTCCCCCACCAAAAAATAGAAAGGCTTTCTATTCCACTGGCCCAGGTAGGGGGAGGGAGAGTAACTTCCAGTCTGTGGGCCTCATTTCCCAGGTGCCTTCAATGCTCATCAAAACCAGGCATGGGGAAGCCCCTCGCAAACTGCTCCACCCGTTGCCTGAGGTCGGCCAGACGCTGACTTGTTTCTGAGTCCTTGAGCAGGAAGGATTTGAAATCCTGGAGCTTGGCTAGAGAGAGAGGGTGAGGAAACAAGTGGTCAGAGCTCTAGGGAAGGCAGTGAGATCAGCTGGGGGAGGGAGCAGACAGTGAGTGGGAACTGGCTGGCCCCAGGTTCCTTCTTGCTCACTCACCAGTCTTGGTCTTCACCTCTAAGCCAATGTTGACCCCTTCATCTATAAAGTCCACAACTCTCCGGAAGTCATCCTCACGGAACTGTCGAGAAGTCAAGGCCGGGGCCCCTGGAACGAGGCACAAGGGGAGGGATGAGCATAGCTCAAGGTCACCCAGCAGTCATCCAGCATGGGAGCCCCTTCCCTCCTCGAACCCCAGGTCTCACCAAGCCGCAGGCCCCCCGGTGTGATGGCACTTCGGTCTCCAGGACAGGTGTTCTTGTTGGCAGTGATGGATACAAGCTCCAGCACCCGCTCAGCCCGAGCTCCATCCAGGCCCTTGGGCCGCAGGTCCACCAGCACCAGGTGATTGTCAGTACCACCTAAGGTGGGTAAGAAATGGGGAGTGGTGAGTCTCCTGGGCCTCTGCCTGAAGCTACAGAGGCCCTCACCCATCCCCTGCTGGCTCACCTGATACTAGTGAGTAGCCTCGCTCTAGCAGGGCATCCGCCATGGCCCGAGCATTCTTCAGAACCTGCAGGGAGTACTCCCGGAACATGGGGGTGCAAGCCTGGAGATGAGACAGTAGCAGCTGTGACCCTAGGCCTGGACCCAAGCCCTGCACTATCCTCTGGCCCTGCACCCTTGGCATAGCTCTGTGACCCCAGCCTTGACCCCTTCCATCCTGGCATTTCCCTTCCATCAGCCCCAGCATCAGTTAGCAAGGTGCAGGACCTAAGCCTCCAGGCCATTGCCCCCCGACACCCTACAGGGACAGGATGCCCAACCTGCTTTAGGGCCACAGCTACTGCAGCAATGGCATGATTGTGGGGGCCCCCCTGCAGGGATGGGAACACAGCAAAGTTGATTCGGTCCTCAAATGTGTAAGGGATCTCCCGGCCAGTCTTGGGGTCCACAGCCTTCACCCCTTTCCGGTAAAAGATGAGCCCTGACCTGTGTGAAAGGTGGGTGGTCAGAGTCTAAGCTGAAAAGAAGGACAAGGCACAGAGAAGGCAGAGGAAGCTGGTGGACCTGGGCCCCAAGGGCACACCTCACATGGGCTAGGTACACTGGGTTCCAGTGGTAAAGGGAATCAGTCCCTCAATCCCATCCCCAAACCCCCTGCCAGAGCATAGCTACCATGGGGAAGAGAAGGAGAACTGTCACAGACTGGGTAGGAATCTTAAGGGCTGCAGGTGGGAATGAATTCCTCTCAGGTCCAGGCCAACGGTGCCCCAGGAATAGGCCTGAAGGCAGGGAAAGGCAAGGCCCGACCTCAGGGAGCCTGACCTGGCCCCTCGAAGAGTCTTGTGAGTAGTGGTGGTGACGATGTCCGCGTGCTTGAAAGGCGAGGGAATCACCTTGGCAGCCACCAGGCCACTGATGTGAGCCATGTCTGCCAGCAGGTGTGCTTTGACTTCATCACACACCTGGGCAGGTACGGAGGCAAGGCCTCAGCCTGGGGAGGGCCTGGAGAGGCCTGCCCAAGGCAGCCCTCCTCTCATACCTCCTCACCACCCCCTGGGGAGGTGCCCAGTCTCCAGCCCCCCACCAACCTCTCTCATGCGGGCATAGTCAATGAGGCGAGCATAGGCGCTGGTGCCAGCTATGATGAGCCGCGGTCGGAAAAGTCGAGCAGTCAGTGCCAGCTGGTCATAGTCAATGAGGCCAGTTTTGGGCTGGACAGACACACAAACAGCTAAAGCCCTGAGAAGGAAGCAGGGCAGCTCACTCTCCTCCTTGACCCTAAGGACAGCCCAGCACTTCAGTTCCTCAGCTTCTCCAGGAGAGGACCCCCACCAGGACCCCTCCCCACACCCTGGAGCACTCACATTGAGCTTATAGGGCATAGACTCGAAGAAGATGGACGTGGCTGATATCCGCTTGACGTCAGACATGTAGCCGTGGGTGAGACTGGGAAGTGAGAGGAAGTAAGGAGGCCTGGGTGGAAGGACTCCCAGACTTAACCGCTCCCTTCAACTCCACAGTTCTCTGTCCCCGGAACACCAGTCCTAGCACACACTGCCTCACTGCTCTGTCCACTCTGTGGTAGGCACTGTAACTGGGATCTTATCTTCCTCATCCACTGTGACATGCAGGACAGGGCAAGGCCTGTTCCATCTGTATGGTCCACAGTAGGTATTCAATAAATAACTCCTTTCCCACACCAATCCTGCCCGCCAAGACCATCAGCCAGCCCATCCATACTCACTGGCCCCCATCGGGCAGGTCCAGCCCCATGATCCGGTCATGAGGTTGCAGAAGGGCTGTATAGACAGCCAGGTTGGCTGGGGACCCAGAGTAGGGCTGGACATTGACTCCCCACTGTGCAGGATCCAGGTCAAAAGCTTCCAAGGCCCGGCGCTGGCACAGCAGCTCAATTTCATCCACCACCTCTGCTCCCCCATAATATCTGCCGTGGGAGAGGGGTAATGAGGGCGCAGAGAAAGGACTCTCAACCAGCAGCAAAGGACTGGGAAGTTCACTCCTCAATGAACACTGGGAAGGTACAGGTGGGTTCCCCCACTGGGAGCACCATCCCTGACACTGCCCTGCAGCCCTCACCTCTTGCCAGGATAACCCTCCGAGTACTTGTTGTTCAGACAGGACCCCAGGGCCTCCAGCGCAGCTCGGCTGCAGAAGTTCTGGGGTGGTGGGGGGCAATGTCAGAAGGTATTGAGCCCCTTCCCCTGGACTCCCACAGTCCCTCCCTGCCAGAGCCAGAGCTGAAAGCGGGGATACTCCCTGCAGAAAGCTCCATTCACTCAGCACCAGGCCTGGGACAAAGCCAGAGGCAGCATTCTCAGAAACCCAGCTGTCATGAGCGGTGGCCCCTCAGTGCCACCTACCCACTCAAACTTGTGCTTCTAGGCTCCTCCTTCCTCACAGGAGGAAGGAAGGAAGGGATCAGATGAGACTGTAGGGACCCTGGAGGCTCCCTAATGCCCTAACCCCATAAACTGGACTTGCCCTGCCTTTGCTTCAGAGAGATAAGAAAGGAAGGTAAAGCCCAAAGAAAGGTCCTGAGTGTGAAAAGGGGTTTTGGAGAAATATCAGTTAAGATAACTTTGTTACTTTCTGTACCCATGGTGGCCCAACCCCTGCCCATCTCCCCAGGTCCCACCTCTGAGGCAATGAGCTCCAGGCCACGACACTGCCTGTCCTTCTCCCTCTGCAGCAACTCCCACATCTCAGGATCACTGTCCGACAGGCTCTCCTGGCCTGTCCAGCCCCTGTTTGCTTCCCCAGTCTGAGTCTGGGCTGCCTTGCTGTGCTGAGCCCGAATGGCCATCCTGACCAGCTGCCCCCATCTCTGCAGAGGCTAGAGGCAGGAAAAGTCGGTGAAATCACAACAGTCTGGACGAATCGTCTCCCAGCCACCCTCACTCATGCTTGTAAGGCCACACCTTGCAGCCAGTTGTCCAGCCAGCCTGTTTCAGTTCTAACTACCCCCACCTCCACCTTCGAAAGCCAGTTCTGGAGCCAAGCTTGAGGCCAACGTCCAGGGGGTGGTTCTGATTTGTTCCATTCACTGCACCGCACCTCAGAAATCTCCCACCAGCTCACTCCATGAACCACTTGGCAAAGTTTGTCCTCCAAAAGCCTATGTCTCCCTAACTCCAGAGAGGGCCACTGAGATTCCAGAACCTTCCCACCCACAGGAACAAGAAGGTCTTCCTGCAGGGCACCATAAACTGATACCCCAGTCAGCGTGGGGAGAAGCAGAGTTGGCAAGGGCTGAGGCCACAGGCTGTAGAGCAATGGAGGTGGGAGGGTAGACCTTTAGCAGTCCCTGGGGAAGAGCTGTGTGGGAGTGGTGGGGGTGGGGATCTGCCCGAGAGTAAGCCAATACCCTTTCCCCTTACTTAGCCCCCTACCCGTTCCACCTCCTTCCAGCCCTCACGGCCGCCGGGACCCCTGTCTGATGCAAGCAGTGAGGCTCGGTTGCATCATCTGCAGGGCTCAGAGCTGGCCGAAAAGGCTCAGCTTGTGAGGCCAGGCCGAGAACTCCACTCATTCGCCAGCACGGGGTCCGCGGGGCATCCGGGGCTGTCCTCTCCCCTAATGCCACGTGAAATGGGCGGTCACGAGGCCCTGGGGCGTCTGATCGCCAGAATGAGGACAGGCTCGCAGTTAACCCTACGCGCGCCCACGGGTCTTGGGGATTCCCTAGTTACACGTCCGCTCCCTGAGGCCCCAGTCCACGTGCGTGGAAAAGCCTAGAGAACC